GCGTCATTAATGGAGCGCAAGGATGCGTGACGCAATGATTGCTAACTGCATCCTTTTGATGGATGGCACACACATACACTATGCAGATCAGAAACTAGAGTAGAGCCGCATTGTCATTATTAGATTGCGTCAAGTCGCCGGCGTGAATGGAAAAAAATGTCTTTATAATCTATAATATATGCAAGTCCCAACGAGCAGCCGATCTTATAAAAAAGAAAGTCGTATAAATGCGTTTTCGTCTTTCCATCAACCTATGTACCGAAATAGTGCAAAGCTCAGGCAAAATACAAACGGTACGTTTCGCGCTATGAAAGATGCGCTCAAGCAAACTCCAAAAACTGTGGAAGAGAAAGAACGTCCAGAGCCTGAAAACAACAGCCGTTGGTCGGCGCGCGCTGCCACTCACCCAGGAATGTCAGGTAGGAGGCGGAGTGGCAGATGAACTTGATGAACGGCTTGCGCATTGTCTGGCCCACCCGACTGTGCGGGGCCGTGATGTAGCAGAAGGAGAAGAGCGGAAACAGGATCCCGATTCGAATCACCTCGATCATCTGCAGGAACATATTTTTCCGACGGAAGCCGGGCAGACCCTCGTACCAGATGGAGGCCAGCAGCTGCTGCACGTTCGGGTGGGCTACGAACTGGAAAGATAACGCGGCCGCGACATTAGTACCGAGTGGCGCATCCGCATCGGTCGACGCAGCGGGCCGAAGACGGCGACGTTTTGGGTGGCCACTGTCAGAGGCTGTACGGCAAGCAGGCGTGGGATACTGCGCCGTGGAGCCCCCACCGGAAGTTTGCCGTGGAGCACCGTCTGGCCGACCGCTGACGGTACATTCCGCGGTTCTTCAGACGAAATCTGAGGCGCACCAGACGAGCAGTAACAAACCTTTCATAGCTTGTTGAACTCCAGCATAATGGTTGGAATCAATAAACCAGCCAGCGAGCCCACATGCGCCAGACAGAATCGGTCTGACGAGATTATCGTGACAATTCGTGGCGGTGCAATTCTTTTTTACTCACTTTTCACTTTGCTTTTATGCCACTATCACTTCATCAATCTGTGCCCAAAACAAGGGCATGCGCCATCAGTTTGAACGAAATGTAGCTTTATTCTACAACGCTAAGCCATAATTTTACGGAAGGATTGAAACGAGGCATTAGCACGACTGACGCACTGGCTGTTTTACTATGTCCTCGCTGGTGTGTATTATGTAATAAACTTTTCGGCCTAATAATTATCAGGCCACCGTTAGGTGTTATTGGGAACGATTTTGCCGCTTAGTCAGCTTGGTAGAACGCCAAATTCGCAATCAGAATGTTCCTGTTCCATCTCCAGCCATTTCATGGAGAAAATTCGGGTTGTGATGCATACATGATTTACATAGAACACCATCCAGCCCTTTTCAGAACTAAGTAAGGCTGGTGATGGCAGGAGAATCAGAAGAATTGACTGTTCGAGTTCTTGTGTACATGCTAACACTCAATGACGATAGATCTGACGATTATTTCATCCTTCATTGTTAAGTCCATTACAGTGGCTGACGCTAGAAATATAATGACATCATGCATTTGCTGATGAGGCCCACGCTGGAAGAAAATCTTTATCACTAGTCAATATCAATCAATAATAGAATATCAAGTCTCCAGATAGTCATGTGGGCAAGACAAAAACAAGTTTAAAGGCTTCCAGCGTTGCTTTCTTCAAGTTCAAATGACCTGATCCACGTTGACTCCTTATTCAGTCAGGTTTTCTATAAGTTGGCCTCAATACCACAATGAATCAGCGTTCACATGAGAGTCTTTGTTCTTTTAACTGACAGGACTTGGAAACACAATAGCGATGGTAATAGATGAGCGGATTCATTCAGCATCTATCCCGACATTCACGATCTCAATTAGCGGCTGCCTGAAAAGCGTTCGCCGATAGTGCCGATTTACGAGCGCCACTCGTGATAAATAACCGCCTTCGCCCGTGCGGACGGGCGGTCCTTGGTTAACTTGTTTGAGGCCGGGAGGTCGGCCGTGCGCGCTCGTGCCGCTCCGCTCGTCTGCGGCGTGCGTCGACCGACCGGCGAGCGACCAAATCAGAGCGCAGGCCGACCACGAACGCCATTCAGCATCCGAACGCCGGGCGATTATGGGGGAGGGCCGCGCCCGGCGTGACGCGCATTCGGAGGTCTGGGGGCCGGTGGCGGTGTGAGGACGCGCGCGCCGTCACCGGCCGAGCCAGGCCGGGCTGTGCGGCGATGCTCTGTCCGAACTCTGCTGGGACTGAACGGATACCTGGAGGTGCGTGGGAAGTAGGGGCGCAGCCCAGGAGGGCCCGTGGCCCGGGGCCAGGGGCCTCTCGTTTGGCCTGAATCTTTGCACCGAGAGGGGCTCCCGCAGAAATTTTTAAACATCGCGTTGTGCGTGCTCGCCGAGCCCAGGGCCCTTCCTCCCTTTAGAACATCATGACTGCGATCCTGGCCGACAGCAGTCAACAATCAAGTGAAAAGTGCAAGACACAGCTGATGCTGCGTACAGCCGGGGTAGCAGCAGTGGCCACGGCTGCACTCTTCAGTTTGCTGTGCGTCGTCTCCACGAAGGCTTTTACTCAGAGAGCGGTGCCTCACTCTCGCCGCGACTCCGAGCACCGGTCCAGCGTGGACTGCCGCTGACCGACTCCAGACAACGCCGGTCAGCGTGGACCGGCGCTGACCGACTCCGCACACCCGGTCAGCGTGGACCGGCGCTGACCGACTCCGAACACCAGTCAGCGTAGACCGGCGCTGACCGACTCCGAACACCGGTGCTGACCTACTCCAAACACCGGTCAGCGTGGACTGCCGCTGACCGACTTCCAAACACCGGTCAGCGTGGCACCGGCGCTGACCGACTCCGAAACATAAGTCAGCGTAGACCGGCGCTGACCCGACTCCGAACACCGGTGCTGACCTACTCCGAACACGGATACCGCGCGTAGACTGGCGCTGACCGACTCCCAACACCGGTCAGCGTGGACCAGCACTGGACCGACTCCCAACACCGGTCAGCGTGGACTGACGCTGACCGACTCCGAACGCCGGTCAGCATGGACTGACGCTGACCGACGTCCGAACACCAGTCAGCGTGGACTGGTGTTGGCCGAATTCGCCAGTGCAACTGACGGCGGCCTCGAAGCCCTCTCTGTCTTCGATCTACGCAACCGGCAAGCGGGCTCCCGCCAGTGGCAACAGCTGGCGTCACATCTCCCGCGGACCCGCCGCTTCGCGCCGACATGTCGGCCGCCTGTTCCGACAGCCGCCGCGACAGCGGATCGCATGGCGCCCAGCTGTTTGTCGTCTCGGGGGCCGGCGCCGGTCCGGTGTCGGGTTTGCCGCCGACCAGCGGGCGACTCCCATCGCTTTAGTTTACGGCCGGCGGGGGGCGGCTTTACGACAGACGGCAGCGCTGCGCCGCGCTGAATCGCTGGGAGCAAAACGCGACGCGCCACGTGCCATTGTCGCCACGGGACCCGCACTGGCCTTCGCCCGCGTTTTATCCGCGTTTTGTAGTGCGATTCGTGCATTATGCAAACGCCGTTAGGATAAGATGACCCGAATTTGTTCGAAAGCGAGAGTAAACGTGGTTTATTGAGCCACAGAAAACCGCTGAGCATTGTTAGCCTAATGTATTGAGCAAAAAAAGTTGAAGATAGAAAAGCACGCTTTTATGATGGTTCTTTAGCTACCTCTTAGTCGCTTCAGGTTAAATATTTCCCCAGTTAAGCTTCGCGCCGCACGGAACGAACATGTGGACGAAAAATGCATCATAGAATTGAAGCAATAGCACCATACCACAACGAACATCTTGTATCTGCCTATGCAATAACGAAGATATGATAAATAGCTAAGATATACATTTTATGAAACTATGTTTTACGATTGGTCAGCATCATATTGATTTCCATGTTTTTCGCCATATTCTATTTTTCCGTGAGCACGTGGAAATGCAGCCGTTTAAAATCCTCCCGGTGGTGATAGAGAGCTACTTCCTACTTAATTCCCACCAACAAACAAGTGCTTGTTATTCACAAGTCCTCATTCGCTGGACCTTACATTGGTGAGGCCCTAAGGTCTTCCTTGCGAGCTTTGTTGCAAAATATCACAACTGGGATTTCAAAACGATGAAACGTAACGTGCCCTGGTCATCATGCCTCTTCCAGTTGCAAGATCTAACTTTGGCAAATGCCTCGCCAATTCGCATAGTGTTCGTGAATTCGCCAATTCGGTGGTCCAAGCAAAAGACCGACAGCCATCCTGGATCGACCAGTTTCGACCAATAGAACACCGCACGCCGCGGCGTCAATCAGGCCAGCTGCCAGACAGGAGTCGGCGCGCCTGTGTTTTTCGCGGCGAAGTGGAGAAAACCTGGCGTCGACTTTGTGTGACGTGCTGAGAGTGAGGCTGTTGATGCCAATTCGGCTTCAAAGCGAGTTTAAAACGAACCGAGACGCCTCGGAACGGAGTCTTTCCAGTTGTTGGGTGAGATCGTTGTGAGCTGAGTGATACTGCTTGCCTGGCGTGCTCCCCGTCTCTGATATTGGATTGAATGCCCGAACTGCATCAGTCAGTGGCCTGCCCGGCAGCGTCCGACCGCAAACTTCTGTGGATACTGCGGCACAGTATTCCCCCCCCCCTGTCGGGAGTACAGCCTCTGACAGCGGTATCCCCAATTGCTGCCGATCCTATTCGTGTCTCAGATGGCAATGGAATGACTCATTCTAACTCATTGTGGCTCGTGTTCGTTGACAACATCACAAGCGAAAAAACAGGTGGATTGAAAATCAGCCGATCTGCTCCTCGCAAAACGTGCGTGGCATTACGCGTATGGTGACCGCTAAAAAAGAGTCCTAATGTACAGAAAGAAAACGTCACCTCGCCCCCTGAGCTGTCGCTGGCTGGAGCTGTCCCCAAGCCCTACAATCTCAATGTGACTTTTGCAATTTTCGCAACATAAAAAACAACCCCCGCTTCTCTCCAGTTGATGAAGATTTCATGACCCACGACGCGACCATCGCTGCTGTCTCCCCGCCCCCCCCCCCCCCCCCCCCCGAGTGGCGCCGTGCCGCCAGCCGCTGGCAGCCTGCTTCTGCTGGTCGCGGCGCCAGACCGTATGAACAATCACAGACCGCGACGTCATCTGCCGCCGCGAAATAATTGATCGGCGCCCGGAATCGCGGCGTCATTTGGCTCGGGCAGCCGGCCATTTGTCCGGTCCGAGAGGACTAATCTGAGATCCGCCCCGGTGGCCGCATTCAATTGCCGGCTCGACACCATCAATCCCACGCCATTGATTGTCTGTCGTGGACGGCGAACGAGCGAGGACCTTGCAGAACCCGCGGCGCGGGCCAACCTGGCGGGCACTTGGGAGTGGAGGGCATCTGCAGACTCCGCCGAGCGAAGGGCGCCATGACGAGTGGTCGGACTCAGGCACGTGATGGCTAGCCGTCATGAATGTTGGTGAGGCTTGATGAACCTCAAGGGAAATATATGCTCTTATAATGCGTACGCGATGCCCCCAAAACACGAATTGCACGGTGCTTGAATTCCATCAATGTAGTTTTTACGGGTCCACATTATCTAGCAGCGTATAGTTGAGCATCATGAACGGGAGCAAGGGACATCCTATGGTCTGTTTGACATCCTTTTATTTATCTAGCACCTCACAGCGTGGATTCTGGCTAAACGAGTACGATCCTGCCACGGCGGTCATGGATGGCCGACTGCTTCGATCCCTGACCCGATGGCCTTCAGACAAGTTAGGACTTCAATCAGTTCCCCTGGCAACGCCGTGCAACGTCTAGTGCCCCCGGGATAGCTCCGAACCGCAAATTTGGTGAGCAATAACTTTGGCGATCAGCCCGTCCTCAGTTGCCTGGTCTCAGTGCGCAGAGTGAAAGCATCGCGATGCTTTGTCATCGACGCCGGGGATATTTTCCCCTGGCAAAATACATATAGGGTTCAATCAGACGTCATGTGTTGCGCACGGCTCTTGAAGGCCTTCGCTTAGCAAGACGGAAAGACTAAGAAACCACTTCCAGATTCCGTGTGATGTTTCCAGAGGCGCAGCCAAGGCGAAAGTTCGTGGAGCTTCAGTCCACCTCCCCCTTTCCCACCTACGTTCGTCAGAATCGAGCGCCGCTTTTCACCCCAACACTGCATTCGTTTTTAGCCGTTTTCACGACGAATTAATCTACTGAAAATTTTAAAAAGTTCTGAAAATGGTTCTATAAAGTCTACGCATAAACTTAGCACTCTGACAACAACAACATTGTTTTAATGCAATTCCATTAGCATGCAATAGGTAAACAACATTTACCAAACTAAGAATAAGTTTGTTATGTTAAGCGGGACCCTATATAGCCATTTCTTCAGCCCATGCCGGAAGTTCACCGAACTTCTAGGAAAATACTAGGTCTGGCAATCAGCAATGTGCATCGGTTGAAGGCCTCGAATGGCGACTGCCCCATTTTTGTTCACATCGGTGCTGTGTGGAGCAAGGCGGGCTTTAAGGATCATTTCATTCAAGAATCATTCATCTTGCATCTGTTCGTAATGCGGAGGTCATGTGACTGGGCTTAAAACTCTGCCCTAAAAGCCTAGCGCCTCCCCGTCGTCCTCAGCCGTGGTATACTCTCGTCACAAATTATGGCAGCACCCCTGGGTGAGTATGTCATGGACCTTTGCGGCGCACTCGGGTGGTGAGACTGCACGGCGTCGCCTGTCGTTCACTACGACAGGAAGGGTGGGTACCGCAGAAAGTCATCCCTTAAACCTCCAGTTCCCTAGATGCGTAGCTTAAACACGGCACTACCGCCATCCTGTCGCTGAATGTGTGGGGCAATCGAATGTGAAAGAGAACTCACGCACCAGCGGGCGAGACTGGCTGCGTGGCGAGGCCGGCATAGATGGCCGCTATCACAGCCCCCGCCAGACCGTGATAGCAGCGTATCTCAAATCCATCCCGCAGCAGCCACGCAGCATGACCGCGCCAGTGCGGCACCTTCATTTTCGCGCCATCACCACCCAGGCCATTATATTTCCGCGCCATCACCATCCAGACCACTATATTTCCGCGCCATCACCACCCAGACCACTACATTTCTACGCCAACCCTCCCCCCACGTTCCCGCGCCATCACCACCTAGACCGCTATATTTCCGCGCCGTCACCCCCCAGACCGCCACATTCCGGCGCCATCACCACCCAGACCACTACATTTCCGCGCCATCACCATCCAGACAACTATATTTCCGCGCCATCACCACCCAGACCACTACACGGAAAGCGCAGCACCCGGCCGCCGAGACGCCCGACACCCGGCCGACTCACCTTCTTCTGTTTATACTTGATGGCCAACTTGAGCCGGCTGAGGTGCATGCGCTCGCCGTGCTCGAAGGCCGGCCCGCTGGGGTCGTGGTTGAGCAGCACCTCCAGCTCGTACGAGCTGCGCGTGTGGTCCAGCAGCGCCGTGGCGAAGTCCTGACAGCGTTTCCGCAGCTCCTGAGGCGCGAGGCAGGCGGTGAGCGGCGACCTGAGATATGTGGCCCTTTAGCGGGGGCTCGACACTTGCGGCCCTCTAGAACTACCCTGACCCCATCCTCCAGTGTTTGTCTAAGCCCTTCGATGTGTGGAACAAAATCACAATAAGTTGCTTAAAGAAAACGCAAGAAAACAGGCAAAGATTACATGTTTTGGGAAATGTAATCGACTGTGCTTCAAGCAATTGCATAAGGCTCCGCTTATGTGAACAGCAGAAGGTATTGAGGTATCGAGGAAGCGTTCCATGGACGCATGTGGATATTTGGGGAGAAGCGCTGGTTGCTTTCTCGTTTGTTTGTTTTTTTAATTTAGAGCATTAACAGTCCACAGGCAAAAGCCCAGTTGCGGAAGCAGTTCGATTTTACAAACAAGTGCCGACAACAGCAATTCTTAACACGAGATCCCCGTTCAAACCTTCAGAAAATCAAGGGGGTTCGTTTGGGTGATCACAATGAGAGGGTGAGACCAGAACATATTTCCGACGTCCGACGTTAGCTCTACTACGCAAACTTCAGTTTCGGTACACCATGCTTGTGTAAAACTTCCACATTTAGAGTGCCTATCATTTGTAACTACATTTCACGCGAAGGTCCTACCCGACGCGACGTTCGTTAAAAGCAAGATCCACTTAACAAAGGCAAAGCAAGTCTCATTAAAGCCACACAATTCCGAAAATCACTTTCCTGCAAGTTGAGCTAAATTTAAACCCATTTCTGAGAACTATCTGCAATTACGCAGGTGGCCGTTGTTGAAGCCCGGCGAACTTCAACAGATTACCGGACAGCCGACGGCAGCAGGCGGCATATAACGCACTGACCAGGCTCTTGCTTAATCAGCTGGCTCAAATGGCATTCAGCGTCTTACCCCACCGCCCTGCGGTCCGCACACAGCTAATTTACGGCGGGTCCAACAACCCGAAGCGGCGCTGGTCGAGCCTGGGCGCCTCTCCAGCCGGCTAGCGCGGCCGGGTAACACATCAGGCTAACGAGCTGCCGAGCTTCGCAGGAAGCCATTTTGTTCGCCAGAGCGAGGTCTTCTGTAAGCAAACGAGCTGTAGCGGCAAAGAGAGAGCCGCCTCGTCAACACCATAATGGGGAGTCAGTTCATACAGGTTCTCATGTCTGAATCGCGCATATGAGCCGCGATGAGGTCGTCAAAGCAGATCGTGAGGCATGCCCACACGTCGAGAAACATTTATATAGGTCTAGTGAAACCCCCAATCACGAAACCCAAAGTCAGTTGTTAGAAAGGGAGAAGCGCGGGCGCACATGGGCCATACAGAATGTGCTGTATGAAGTATCAGCCATGGATTTGGGGATAGATGTAGATTATGTATCATATATATATATATATATATATATATATATATATATATATATATATATATATATATATATAGGTGTGTGTGTGTGTGTGTGTGTGTGTGTGTGTGTGTGTGTGTGTGTGTGTGTGTGTGTGTGTGTGTGTGTGTGTGTGTGTGTGTGTGTGTGTGTGTGTGTGTGTGTGTGTGTGTGTGTGTGTGTGTGTGTGTGTGTGTGTGTGTGTGTGTGTGTGTGTGTGTGTGTGTGTGTGTGTGTGTGTGTGTGTGTGTGTGTGTGTGTGGTGTGTGTGTGTGTGTGTGTGTGTGTGTGTGTGTGGTGTGTGTGTGTGTGTGTGTGTGTGTGTGTGTGTGGTGTGTGTGTGTGGTGTGTGTGTGTGTGTGTGTGGTGTGTGTGTACACCTTGTATCATGTCACTAAAATGTAACGGATTGGTTATTTATTGGCAACATCCTTTTTTGTAATGCACAATCCAACAAAGCGCTTGTTGGCATCTACTGTTTCAGGTGGAAAAGAACAAGCACTGAAACACTTAAATTTGGGAGGAAATATTTCAACACCCTTGTACGGCTGCGATAGATCCTCGTTTTAAGCCGGGTGATATATTGCAAATTAGTTTAACACTAACCCCCGACAAAGCGCAGCACTTCATGCAACTTATTACGCAGAGCTCTCGCAACATCACTCAAAAAGATAGCAGGGACGGCTTGTTTTGAGGCTAATGGATTGTGAGCGACGATAAATATGTTGTGCCAGAAAGCCCACCGGCCAGGACAGCCAGACTATTGCATTTAGTCGGCCGTATTGTGGACGTCGGGACAAATTTCCCACATGAAGACACTTAAATGACAGCCTTGCCGCTGGCAGTTAGTGCAGTGATGATAGCCAGACCGGCCATAGTCCTTGACATTTCTTTCTTAGGTCGCCGTCTGGCCGTATCTTTACAGCTGTGTTCACCGGTTGCCCAGATTGTTCAGCCGAGAAATCCGCATGACGCCGGCAAATCGGTGGCCATGCGACACTGTCCAGAACTGGCGACAGCCAGTCTGGTCATGCAGCCGCCGTCTCAGGCGTCTGTTGCGGGTCGGCTGCTCCTATCCGGTACTCCTACCGGGTCGCCACAATGACCTCGGCTCTAGAGGTGACAGGAAAACCGCACATGTGATGGCCGCCGTGTGGTCCCAATGTCATTAGGGGATGGTAAACTGCCCAACCTGGATTGTTTCCGCCACTTGCACCGCCTACTCTGCGACCGGGTCGTACTACAACGCAGTGGTCCCGCAGGAATTGACGTCATGAATCGGCGAAACACGCTGGTGGTGCCACCGCGAGGAACGACGTCACGCGCCATCGGTCGGCGCAGGAAGTAGTTGGTGACGTGGCGGCGCCTCTCTGACCTGCTCGGTCTTGGATTGACCTGGACACTGACTGACCTGATGGTGGATCCTGACCCGGTAGTGGACCCTAACCTGACCTGGACACTGGCTGGCCTGCCAGCAGATCCTGACCTGACCCGGACATTGAATGCCCTGATAAAGGATCCTGACCTGACCCGGACACTGACTGACCTGGTAGTCGGTCTTGAACTCGTGCTCCAGCACGCTCAGCCGCCGCAGTTCCCAGCTCAGCTCGAACGCCTGCAGGATCGGGTCCTTGCTGCTGAGCGCAATCAGCGACGGACTGGCCAGTGCCCGATACGAGTTGATGCGCGAGCGGCTGTGACGCAGCGAGTCCTCCCCGTGTGACGTCATACATTCCTCGCAGCCGCACCTGGCGAGCAGAGGGGCCCTGTAAGTCAGGTGGCCCGCATTGCCGCGCCTGTCGTGGGATGAAGTCAGGTAGTCCGCTGCTGCCACACCCTTGAAAGAGATGAAGCATGATACACTCCTTGCAGCAGCACTTGTCACGCAGGGTGCGTGGCGTCCCACGCATCTGACCTCGTGTCATATCTTCCAGTATCACCCAACCAAGAGCGGATTGGTTAAAATACAGTGCCTGCCTGGGAGTGGTTTCCCATAATTAGGAGAGCATTACGATACACTTAAGCGAGCTAAAATACGGATCAAACCTGGTAACACCACATACGCCTGTTTCTCTCTGTTGACATTGGATTGTGATCGCCGCCGGGTATCAAAGGAAGAGGTCTAAACCTGCTTTGAGCCATATGGCTCAAAGTAGGTTTATGAGTGTGTCCGAAAGATGGAGCTGATGCTAGAGATGGTTGGATGCAGAACACACATTGGTTGCTCCTCTAGGTGCGGGGTATCCGGAGTAGGCTGCCTCTGTGGGTGTGTATGCTGTCGTCACCAACAATTTGAAGGACGTGAGCCAATAAAAATTTTCAGGAGATGGCTGTCCATTCTAGAACATCCCAAATTCATCGAGTGCTCCTATAAGATCCGGATCTTATTCCCTGATCAACCTTTCGTTTGCTCGCAATACCACGGAAATCGGTTTTGGGCAGCCTGAGTGGGCCCAGTGCGTCAAATAGAACGGTGGTAGCTGGGCCTGGGAACCAGGCACGAACGTCAACGCAGCAGCCGCGCCTAGCACATGCCGCACGTCAAATGACACGGCGTTAGTGAAATTCGATCCATCAAATGGAACGTAAGCGGCCTTAGAGGACCTCAGACGGCAAATAATGGAGCTGCAGGCCATCAGTCTCAGGCATCAGCCGAATAGCCAGGTTATTTTATTCAACTTTTGCATCATTGACAGCGATTCCTTGCCATCTTGTGTGCGTTATCTACTCACGATTGCCTCACTTAGCCGACCGGCATCATACAGAAGCGTTGTTTTGTGTCCTCCCGCGTTATATAAATAAAAAGCCTTATAGTGGGCTGTAACGTAGCGGAATAAACAAACGACGTGCAATAAAAACCAGGAGGCATGATGAAAATAGCCCGCTACGGGGCGCGCTGGATTTACATGCCTTCTTTGTTGTTGGTTCACTGTCGGGCCATTTGAGATTAAATGGTGTTTTGGGCCCCATGCAAACTAGCCTGCTTGTCTGTACTCAGGGGCGATGCTGCCTTTAATGCCCGGGCACATCTCCCCGAGTAAATCATGGTCCAGCTGCTCGCGTTGGACGCGTCCACCAATAAATCTCCATAAATGGTGTCATCGACGACGACACATTGCCTCCAGAAGATCATAAGTTGCAGATGCGATCGGATTGAGTGCCGGACGCAAACTTAAGTTTTGCATGAGCTCTGAAAGCTATATCGTACGTCAGAAAACTATAACGAACAAATCCGTGCAATTTTAAGGATAATTTAGGCTGTTCTTGTTAAAAATGTAAGCTGTTGCCAGACAATTTTTAGCACGTAATTACCGATGCTTTCAAACACTGAGATTCCTAAATACTCCGTCCACTGATGGAACATTCGGCACCAACAAGCTACGTTCTCACAACAGAAGGTGAGATCGGATTATCAAACTGACGGTGAAGACACAGACCCAAGGGCTGTGACACTTTCAAAACAAGAGGGTCGTGTAAATCATTTCGAGTGCGCTCTATGAACCTGTTAATATTCGGCAGCCGGTAGGGCAATCGCGTTGTCATGGCAACGCCGGAAACATTTTCCATTCCACTCAACGTTCTCGTCTCGACAGGAAGCGCATTGGTATGTTTTTTATGAGCGGAAGTGCAGACTGAACTAGCTGCCCCCAAGCAGTGTGTTAACTTAAGAGGCCTGACCCGGCTGTCATGCTGTATAAAAACTTAACACTTTGCAGCCGCTTATCACAGCCTCTTGCGTGCTCCCGCATCACAAAGTGTTGTCCTTTAACAGCTGTACTATATGAAATTTAAGGTATTCAACAACTGAGTTAACCGAAGGTATTGTGCGAGGCAAACTACACCAGCGTGAAGTCAAGTTCACTTTGAACAGTAGCCCGCATCCAATATCTTTGTTTTTTGTGTTCTGTCTACGTTTCAAAGCCGTCAATCAGCGACAATTCATCGGTTTGCTCCGGTAGAGTGGCCAGGTCAGACCCACCGGCGGCATGTCCGATCGATGATTCAAAAAGATAAGCTACCAATACTCCAATAGCGAGTCTCTGCCTCCCGCGTGGAGTTGGTTGCCTACGGCGGCCGTCCGCACCCCCCGCGCCTGGCATTCTTGACTTTTAAGTCGCTGTTTCATTCACTGTAACTGTGTATCTATGCGTATGACGTATCTCTATACTGTGTGTATGGGTTCTTTTTCCTTGTACGACTAGGCGCAGAACAACCACCACGTGTATGCGCCTTGAATAAAATAACTGTAACTGTAACTGTCCTAAACGCCTCAAAACGATGGGCATCCAAAACATTCAAAAAACAATGCGTAGGTTCCCAAAGGTACGAAGATCAATGAACTCCGGTATCTGTATGATCGACATGATGGCGATTGACCGACAAGACGTCAGGTAAATTTGAAACGAGTGCAGCGCGAAATCTGAACTTAATGATGGTTTAGTGGGAGACCTTTGCCGACGTAGCATTTGCACGCTGATTTACAAACTAGCACGTTTGGAAGCTGTGTGAAAGGTCGGGAGTCACTCGTGACCGTGAGCATTGATGAACGCCTGGAGCGTTTTCGTAATGTATTTCAACGATTGCCCGACACATTTTTACAAGTGTCAGCCATGTAGTGATGCTGGCTGATCTGAGCACAATACGAGATCTTAACGCGTGCTCGTGCTGTGGTACGCCTGTGGTACGTCAAACTTTGCATAGCTGCAGGCAATTAAACATAAAATATTTTGAAACACAAATTTGGATGTACCTTGTAAGGTCGTTGACCTACGACAGGTCAAAGTCAAGCCTTGCTACCAGCGAAGGCCATGTCTAGGGAATCGTCCAGTCTGATGCGACAGCGGAGTGCTAGAAGAAGACACACACCTATGAAGTGACATATTGGGCAATACATGAACTTACTTTAGCGTTACAACACATTCCGTTGGCCTAAGACCAGCTATGAAGCTCAGACCGAGGTCAAAACCTAACTACCCTTTTACTTGGGAGTTTGCTTTATGGGGAACTTTGTGGTGCTTATTTCGAATTTAAGAATGACAGACACCGAAACAGACACGTTTCATGGACTTTTAAAGGTCAGATTCGGCCACTGACCCAAAATGAGTCTGGCCAACATTTCGTTTTCAGAAACATACCGCCTAGCGTAATAATTGGCGCTCATTTGAATGTTAAAATGACAGCAATTTCGTACTTCTTCGGTCACCTCGGCCTTTTGAAGCGTCAAACAGGATAGCTGCTCTTCAGTGCGTACAATTGACCTTGTTTCTAGGGAAAGTATCTAGGTTCACGGTGGTTGCGTAGGGAGGTCTAGGGACACTGCATTTCACACAATTCTGGGTTTTTAACTTGTTTAGCCTTTTTAACACCTCGGAGCCTCGAAATTTGACACAAATAAATTCACCCATAGGTTAACCCACCAAATTAAGTAAGTTGTCAAGTGCATTTGCGAGGAACATTGTGCATATAAAAGTCACATAACGAGCTCATTATGAAAGAAGGGTCTTAGTTTCCAAACGATATTTTAAAAGAAAAATTAAGTTCCAGAATAGCCCGTCATTCCACGCGCAGTCCCATCATGGTTATGATACAAAATGTCCACATTTCGGGAGAAGATTTCGGAAAAATGTCAACATTTGTGATTAGAGAATTACACATTTTTCGTGCCAAAGGGAGAACTCTACATTACCACCGGGTTTTTAACTGAAACAGCTATCTTAACGATTGTTCAGTGCAGTGTGCGGCCCTGTCCTTCTGAAGACCTAAACCCCTCTAGTTTCTGAGCTACGCGACGGCAAAGATGTGCAGGCTACTTCGGAGAGGCTTTTTCAAGGTTACTCAGGCATCCATGACGCCATACTGTCATTTAAATTCTGTCCTTCCGTTAGCCATGCGGCGATCTAGGCTAAGCAAAATATAATTGTTGGGTCTTTCATATCTGGCGTTCGTAAGCACGATTTCCAGATATTAAGGCCGCCCATCGGCTCTCATTCAGTGTTGTGCAAGGTACGATAAGGTTATCAAACAATAACATATTGGGGGCATATTCATTAAACAAAAGCATTACGTTGTCCAGAGCAGTCTTGTCCAATTAAAAGTATGCCAACAACTGTAGATGACATTTCATCATGTCTGATGCTTGTATCAGTATCTTCAAATATGAAGCATTCCTTTTAATCAAATGCGCAGCTACATTTCGCAAGCTTTCTGGGAAATCCCGTCCGATCATTCAGCTTTCTTATCTAAATACCGTAAAACGTATCACGCACACATTTAACATAATTGCGCTACTTGATGATGGAACCGTAAATGCTTCAATGGTATCTCCATGCAAATGGAAAAAAAGTTTCCATTAAAGATCTCATCCTGGCACTAGAAGCATTCAACCTCTTGTTCGGAGATTGTGAGATGCTCATGAAAAAGGATTCCGTCGCATGCGGGTTGTTACCATGCTACTTTTCTAGAAAGCCTGGCGACCACGCCGGGCCTTTGAAGCCGAAAATCTTTCCACTCTCTAAATAAGATTCACCCTGCCGGCTAACTAACTAATGATGGCTCTGACACTTCGGTTACCTCTCGCTCGTCCCGTACCGTATACAGCGTCTTATTGATACTAGTGGGCAAAACAACTGCTGGCGTGGCATTGACGAAGCGGCTTCAATTTTGCTATTCGCAACTAAACTCACAATGCAATAAACACACCGAGGAGCACCGGAATGTCGGGGTTATGGCGGGCTCAATCACGACCAAG